TCCTTAAATTGATAGTAGTAGTAGTATATGTGAAAAAACTATTTCCATACCATATTTTATATATTGTATTATAAATAATGTCTCAAAATATGTACTCTTAAATGAAAGAATGCTACTAGGCCCACTGGTTTACACTTGCATGAGAGAAAGACATGTTTCTAGTTACATCTATACCATTTTAAGTGAAATTCTAATATTTTGAGAAAGTTCAGAATTCTTAAGAATATTGCATTTATGATTAGTTCAGGAAGCCCCACATGATACATATCAAACAAACATCAGAATAATATCACGCAGTAATTAGTTAGCACCACAATGAATACCCTGAGGGTATTTCATGTGCTGCCCAGATAATTCAGATTTAGGTCCAAGGATTTGACCAGTCCATAAATGACCAACACACAGGACGTGTTTCAAGCTCTGTTTCAGCCCCGAAGAGGCACGTGCAAAGCATATGCACGCATGCGCGCGCGCCATAACTAGGTTGTCAATTTCATTACTACTGGTTTGGGTGCACTCCCCTGCGCGCTCGGGTGCAATGCTTCTGTGCATGAGTAGAAGTGTCCAGGAGGGTGGGCAGAGCCTCCTGCTGCTGCTATTACCGGTTTGGCTGATCTGGGTCGAACCGGCAGCAACCCACTTCTGGCGCATGCTCACAATTAGCGAATCGGTTCTCAAGGTAAATGCAGCCCACCTCTGATTATAAGCATAAAAATCTCAGAACTGACTCATTCTTATTTTCACATCAAGGGCAGTTGTTCTTGACTTAAGGCAAATAAAAGCCTCCACCCACTGAATTATATTGTAATACTGTGTAGGACTTTATTCTTTTATAACCATCTGCATTTAGCTGTAAATGTTTTTCAAGATTGGAGACCATAAACTATATTGCCTTCAAAGAGTTTTGCCTTCTATGGAAAAATCATGAGAATGAACTTCAGATTACCTACTGTTCATATAGTAATTAGTCCACACTGTCAATTTCTCAAGGATATTACAATCAGCTGTACTTTGGCCTGCAAAAGAGTAACAAAATAGAATTGTACTTGAAGCTCTAAATTTAGTGTTTCTACTTCTGCTTTTCTCATGAATGCAAAACAACAACAATATTGAGAATGTCCAGGATATATGCATTTTTATTCTAATGGACATCTATAAAAATGTTATCTGCAACCCATATAATATATTAATTTTTAAAGGCAGAACAATTTTATGGATGCATATTTAGAGGTGCCTCTCATTGAACACACTGATGTATTCTACATATAGTACCATATAGGTTTGGGTTTGCTTTCTTTATAATACTATAAACAATGGAAATGAGATTTTTTAAATTCAAGTATGTATTTAGGGTATAGAAAGAAGATTGTGGTTGCAGATAAGTTTTGTGGACAAGCAAAGTCGAAGCAATAGTTTTAGTTGTTCAACGGAAGTAATCAAAGCAGACCTTGGACCACATACATAGAAATTTATCCCTTGGTTGGATAATATTACACACAAATTCAAGGAGAAGTAAGAAAGAAACTGACAATTAAAAATTTCTTCAAATGATTTTAAATAGCATAGCCATTTTCATGCAATCAAGAATAAAATCACTGGACTATGTGCTAATCAAAAGGTATGTAATCTTTTCCAGAATGGCCATATTTGTCTTTAATTGATGATCCACTGTGGCATTCCAACAATCTAAATTTAACTTAGTTATATATTTACATTTAATTAAAATTAAACATATAATTGTTTTCTATCTTATTTGTGCAATTAATAATGCCCTTTTATTTGTAATGTTTTAATGTATGTTCCATTGGATGTATATCAAAATAATTTTGTACTCGCGTTTAAATAAAATTAAATATCGAATTCATTTGCTTAATTTTCAGTTGTGCATTTAATAAAGTCTTCCTTTTATTTGTAATGTTTGGTTTGATTATGGAGTGCACCAGAATAATTTCTTTGGTGTTTGAGTCCTTCAGTTGGATCCCATTATTTTGGTTCAGATAGCTAATGTGCTTATTTGTTTTCTCACAACACTTATGATGAATTAAACTATAGTTTACTCAGTTAGCCCTATTGCCTGCTTCACATGATGCAATGAACCCACAACTAAATACATTGGTTAGAGTTCTACAAGATCCTAAATCGAAATGCACTATGTTTTAGCCTAATGTTAAACTGTAGCTCAAAATAAAGCACAGATATTAAACGGTGGCAAAGTTTCACAATGTACTAAGCTAAGATGTGGTTATCTAGTTTGTGATACTATTTATTATGCAAACCTTACCAGGAACTCAAGAAACACAGCTAAAGACCTGCTTCAGAATTAACATTAAAAAAGAAAACCATTTTTTGCCTCCTGCTACAAGCCCTTACACTATTATACATAGAGAAACAGGATGTGACCTATAAAGGTATATCTAGTATTCCTTCAAAAACATATTGTCCTGATTTCTACTGATCTCAAGATTTTAAAAGTGGATGATCAAGTTTTAAACTAAGTTTAAGCTCAACACAGAATTTAAGTGCTAAAGCTAACATAAAATACTGTTCAAATTTGCACCAGCAGTTTGCTCATGGGCATCCCACATTTGCATTTTCAAAATCTAATTGAATTTGCTTTTTAGTGTGAAAGAAACAAGGCCTAAAGAGTGCTATTTCCAGAGGTTTAACCATTAGAAAGTTCATAACCATTTTAGGGGGAGTGAAGTACACAGTAGATGAAGTGTTGATATAAACTAAAGATGCCCATGTCTCACTCATAGACGGGGACATTTTTTTTTGGGGGGGGGGAATTAAATAATCCATGACAAACCGGGGTCAACGAGCATGCTAAGCCTAGATTAAGTCAACCTTTGGCACTCTGGCTTCACATATTGTTGAACTACAAACATTGCTTTCTGGGAATTCTACTAATTTTAATATGGGAAATATCTGCAGTGCCTCAGCCAACTTATCACTGCAGTAAGAGATTAACTATGATTTCCAAAATGTGGGGTCTGTTTTAACCTAATACTCAATCCAAATACGAACTATTTTTTATGTATGAATTCAGCTTAAATGTTTCCTGCTTCAAAATAGCTGGGAATGATGCTGCCAACTTTTGTTAATCATGACTCCATCCTGGGTACGTACGTACACACACACACACACACACACACACACACACACACACACACATTTAGGGGTCATAGTTTGCCCATCATTTGCAATTCAGATCAGAAGGCCATGCCCTAAAATGTTGCCAAGCTTTCTGTCTGCTGGAGGAAAAGCATTTGTATGTGGCTCTATCAGTATTCTGGAAAGGAGAAATATTAACTCAAGCAATGTTTACTTTATTTATGTGAAATTCTTTGGATCTGAAGAGCAGGTTTTATTAGTAGAAGAAAAAGGAAATGTGCTTAATCCTTAAGTAAATGATAGGGGTATCTTAAGCTATGATAGGGAAGCTTAACATCTGGAAAACTGGATACCAGAAGCAGGAGAGTTAAAAAGCACTATGTGGGCAGTGGGCACATATCCCTTAAACAAGGGCAAAAGTGACCTGAGATAAGCAATCTCATATGGAAAAGAAGGTGAATGACAGGCACAGGCAGTATCTGCCAATTGAGTCAACTTTCTAACCTGCCATATCCTTCCTACTCATCATCTACCTACATAAGTCAGTGTACCTGATAAGGCAAAGAACAGGCAGTATCTGCCAATTGAATCAACTTTCTAACCTGCCTAAGGTGACCAGATTTTCAGATTGGAAAAGAGGGACACCCTTGACCGGGGGGGNGCGTGCACGAGGACGCCGCCGGCCCCGTTCCAACCGAACCAGTTGGAACGGGGCGAGAAACCCACTCCTGGTATGTATGTATGTATGTATGTATGTATGTATGTATGTATGTATGTATGTGTGTATATGTATGTATGCTGGTCTTGTTGTATTCGGGTCTTTTCCCCTGTAAGATTGAGATTATCTTGGCAATGTTTCAATCCACTCTGCTCTGCAATTCCCCCTCCCCCCCGCAGTCTTCCCCTTCCCCATCACCTCCATTCTTCAAATTCTTCCATGACAGAGGCTGTCAGTTCATTGTTAGTGAAGATCATTTGTATATATTTGGAAGCAAGGAAATCTATAGATTGGGTTCTGGTTCCTCTTCAGGTTTCTTTGTAATTTGCTGTCCCTGCAAAGCAGGTATTTCAACACTTGCTAAAGAGATTATTCCAACAGCAGATTTTACAAGCAAAAACAGCAGTGACAACAGAAACTGAACTGTCTTTATAAGCAGAGACTAATAAGAAAACCATAGTATAGTGCAGTAATTGGAAATGTTCAGTCCATGTCAGAATCTGAACCATTAGAGCAGATAAAATAAAATTCTACTTTGTAGCTGGTTAAATGACCTGAACAAACCCAGTCCGGCAGTTGTTTTTAATTAAAGCTTTTTGTATTACCTTTCACCCTGATCTTTCTGTAGATGTGGATGAAAGAGGGAAGAGGAAAAAAAAGTGTGTGCAAGATAGGTGGGAATAGACTCACCAGTTCAAAAGAGGATGCCAAGTATATGTTATATAGGTTTGGGGGAAAAGAAAAATATATATATATGAAGATTTTAGTATTCTTTCTGTATACAACACTAATTCTAAAATCCTTGAAACCTTTTTAATTAGGCTTTAAATTTATTTAAAAGTGCTATTTATCCAAAGTTCTCGGTTTTCTTATGAGTCTCCCTAATGGTCCCAAGTCATAATTGGGTGAAGTCTGATGACCTGAACTTAAAATTATCAGGAGCTAAGAATACTCTTCTCATCCCTCCATGAAGAATGGTTGCAGGAATGTCTAGTTTAATTAAATGAAAGACTGGGGGAGACATGATGGCAGTGTTCCAATATCTCCGGGGCTGCCCCAAAGAAGAGGGAGTCAAGCTATTCTCCAAAGCACCTGAAGGCAGGACAAGAAGCTAATCAAGGAGAGAAGCAATTTAGAATTAANGAATTTATCTTCCTATTTCTATTCCAGCTGTTGAGGAGAATGAAGAAGAGCTGCAGCCAGAACAAGACCGTGCGGAGAAGCGGGAAGCACCCTCAAGGAGATCTATTAGCCCAGAGGAGGCTTGCACCAGCAGACATTGGTGCCCGCAGAGCCTAAAGGACCAACAGCCTCATCAAGACTTTGCGGTGCATCAGCAGGAAGGGAAGAATTCCAGCAGCCAAAGGTGCCTGGAAAAGTCGGGGGTGTGGGGGGAGTGTGGGAAGAAAAGCATGAATGTTCGGGGCCACAGTATGCCCACCCCAGAGAGACCACACCAATGCACCGAATGTGGACGTTGCTTCCGGCAGCACTCCATCCTGCATAAACATCAGAAGATTCACACGGGGGAGAAGCCCTACCTGTGTGTGGCTTGTGGCAAGAGATTCAACCGCAGCTCCAACCTGGTGCAGCACCAGCGTGTCCACACAGGGGAGCGTCCCTTCCCCTGCGCCGCCTGTGGCAAGGCTTTTACCCAGAAATCGGATCTAGAGCGTCATCAGCGGGTGCACACAGGGGACCGGCCATACATTTGCCAGGACTGTGGGAAATGCTTCTCCGTCAGCTCCCACCTCGACCGGCACAGGCGCACCCACCAGGACAACCCTCCGGAGAAGCCTTCAGCCGCCTCTCTGGTCCCCGCTACCCATTACTGTCCCAACTGTGGGAAATGTTTTGGACAACGTTCTGCTCTCACTAAGCACCGTAAGACTCATTCGGGGGAGCGCCCGTACCCTTGCAGCGCCTGTGGCAAGCGGTTCAGCCGCAGCTCCAACCTGGCGCAGCACCAGCGCATTCACACAGGGGAGCGCCCCTTCCCGTGTGCTGACTGTGGCAAGAGGTTCATCCAGCGTTCTGACCTGGAGCGCCACCAGCGGGTGCACACCGGGGAACGCCCGTATACTTGCGCCCAGTGCGGCCGGGGTTTTTCCGTGAGTTCCCATCTCGACCGCCACCAGAGAGTCCACCAAGCCCTCGCGGTGGCTGCAGCTGCCCACTGCTGCCCAGAACACGTGAAAGGGTTCCTCCTCAGCAACGGGGCCAAGCAGACCCTGAAATACCAGCTGTATGGCGGCAAAGGACGTCTCACTCGCGGTGGCCATTGCTTGGACTGTGGGAAAAGCCTGAGCAAGCTTCCCGCTCAGCCCCCGGGGATTGCGGTGGAGAAGCCGTACAAGTGTGAGGCTTGTGGGAAAGCCTTCGCCCAGCGCTCGGCGCTGATGAAACACCAGCGCATCCACACCGGGGAGAAGCCTTTCTCCTGCGGGGAGTGCGGCAAGGGCTTCATCCAGAAGTCAGATCTGACCATCCACCAGCGCATGCACACCGGGGAGAAGCCGTACCGCTGCGACACCTGTGGCAAGTGCTTCAGTGTCAGTTCCAACTTGCTGACTCACCAGCGCACCCATCTGGGGGAGAAGCCCTACGCCTGTGGGGAGTGTGGCAAGGCCTTCGTCCAGCGCTCGGAGCTGACCATCCACCAGCGGACCCACACGGGGGAGAAGCCCTACAAATGTAGCCTCTGCAGCAAATGCTTCAGCCGCAGCTCTCACCTGAACCGTCACCGGCGCACCCATAGCGGCCAGACGGACTCAGCTGCTCCAGTCCCTTCCCCATTGCTTGCCCCCAACCCCCACAAGCCAAGCATTCCTCTGCCCAGCTCCGTCTTCTCCGCCTCCTTTTCTTCTCCCAGCCCTCTCCCTCCCTTACCTGCCTTCCCTTCCTCGCCTTCCCCTCTTCCCCTCCCTGGTTTGGAGCTGCCTTGGACTCTCCCCTTCCCATCCCAGGGTTTTTCCCATCCAACCTATGTGCCCCCTGCTCCAGACACAGCCCAGGCTTCTCTCACCAACTAGTTCTTCCCCTTCCAACCTCTTCTCTTTATTCCTGCTCAATGTCCTCCTTCTCTTCCTTCTAGCTGCCCTCCCAAATCCGTTCTGGTTTTGCTTCTTCCTTCTCCTTCTCTGTTCATTGAGCTTCACTGTTCCCCTGCTCTGTTTTCACTGGCCATCCATGGGGAAGCTAGAAAGGAGAAGCCGGCAGAAACGGTGGGCGTGCACCAGTGGGCTGTACAACAAAGGGGCTTGGCCCTTTCCTTCTTCCCGCCTTCTGCATCATCGCGAGACAGTATCAAACTCTCCGTCTTATCACCAGGGCTA